GACTTGGACGTGGGAGGTAGGTCTGGGTCTTCCTTTAATGTCTACCATTGTACTGGTAAACCCCAGGGCTTTAGGGAATTGCCTTCTAGTCTGTAAAATCCCTAATAACTGAGCTCAAGACTCTGCTTTTTCTGTCCCCTAAGCTCTTCTTTCATTGCAAAACTGCTTTTCTAGGTATAAAATAGTCTGTCGAGGTCATGGAGTTGAAGACAGTGTGAATTGTCTGGGAGCTCTGTGTTCAGCCCAGGGAAAGTGTGAAAGGTAGCAGCAGAAAAATGTTTGTGTTTCCTTGAGGCCTCACGCCTGGCACGGTGCGTGTTGCCATAGGCATGGCCAGGCAGACAGGGAGACCCAGCCCCGTCTGCGGGGTGGAGGTGTGATCCTGCTCTCGCTGCGCCTGATGCTGGTCCCAGTGCTCCTTGTAACTTGGGAAAGTCCTTTCTTTGTCTCCACTGCCCAGCGTAAAGCGGAGCAGCTGGACTGGTGCTCTGCAGGGCTGAGCTTGTGCCTTTCTCTTCCTGCTTCTCTTTTGAGGAAACGCTTGTGAGTTGGATCCTGAGTCTCAGGCTGCAAAGCTGCTGCAGTGAGCCAGTGAATTCCCCTGCTCCTGCACAGAGTCACGGTTTTTGGCAGCAGATCCCTGCAGAAGGTTATTCGAGTCCAGGCACAGCTCCTCCTGCTCCGTCTGGCGGGCTGAGCGGTGAAGTGCCGGCATCCACCCTGCGTGGCACAGGGATGCTCAGCCTGAGGGACAGCCTTGCTTCCCCTGAGAGGCCATTCCAGCAACTGCTGTCCAGGAAGATGCAAGGGCAGCAGCAGTGGTGCTGGGGCACAGACTGTGGCAACGTTAGGTGTCTGGAGTGGCGTTGGCCTGACTGGGGGCAGATGTGTCCCGTTGGTCGTCCTGCAGCCTCTGCTCTTCCTGGTGCAGTCGCTCCAGGTGCTGCCTGTCGCTTGCAGTTGCTGCCAGGGGTTAGGCAAGTGCTGCCTGGTCTCACCAGGGAGCTTCTTCCCACCTCAGCCAGTCTGAGGACAGCTGGAGCCAGGCTGGAGCTGCCAGGTCCCTTCACTCAGGGGAGGGACTTTGAGGCAATGGAGAATGGCGACAAGGAGAACAGGCACATGGAGGTGCTGGGGAGCCGGCAGGTCTTGGGCTCTCCTGGAGCACCAACCTAGACTGGCCCTTCAGGGGAGCGGGGCTGGTCCCAGGACACTGGGGGGTGGAAGGAGCCAAGCCAGCCCCTGCGGCATCGCTGAGCTCCCACATGAGATGGGACGAGGCATCCTAGGAAAGGCTGGGAGAAGCAAAGGCCCCTTGGGCAGATGGAGGCTCTTTGTGGGGTCAGCCTGCAGCAGAGACACCCATCAGTATCTTGGGGAGTGAGTCAGGCACCGGTTCCCCAGCTGGTCTGTGGTGTGTCTGGGGTGGAAAGGAAACAGGCTGAACTGGCTGGGACCTGTGATCTGCTCTCAGAGTCCCGGGCAAGCTCCAGGCTCCCTCCCCACCTCACAACCGACGCCTTTACGCCCACAGTCGGCAAATGAATTAAGAGCCTGGTCTGCAGGTGAGGGACATGTTCTGGATGCTGCAGCCAAACCCCAGACGCTGTCTCTGCAGTTGGAGAGATGAACCCCAAACTTCCCTACGTTCTCCTGGTTGCGGCTGCGGTGATAATCTTCATTCTCTCCTGCATGCTGCTGAGCAGGGGGAGGCAGTCACCCAGCTGTGAATCCCAGCCCCGCATCGTGGAGAAGACGGGGTCCACGAGCCAGAGCCTGGTCTTTGCCGATCTGACACCCGAAGAGATGGTGCAAGTGGTGCGGTACCTGCAGGGAAACCTCGGGGTGCGGCTGGTTGACGCCTCGCGGGCAAAGCCCTCGGACAACTGCATCGCCTCCGTCGACGTGCAGGTCCCCGCCAAGGCAGAGGTGCTGCGGTTCCTGGATGGTGGGGGGGCTCGCCCCGCCCGGGAGGCGCTGGCTGTGCTGTACTTTGGGGACCAGCCAGACCCCAACGTCACCGAGTACGTGGTGGGTCCGCTGCCGACGCCGGTGTATCACCGGGACGTGACAGTGCAGAAGTACGGGGGGAAGGTGCCGTTCCACCGCAGACCGATGCTGAGCAGTGAGTACGGGCTGGTGGAAACCTTTTTAGAGACAGTGGCGTTTGCTGCAGCTCCAACCTTCCTGAAAGAAGTGTTTGAATACGATGGCACCAACGTGGCGTTTCAGACCTCAGCCCCTCATGGGTTCCAGTCTGGAGACCGTAAGTCCTGGTTCACTGTGTTTCAGAACGTGAGTGGGTTCTTTGTGCA